CCCCCGATAATATCTTCTTTAGGGTGAATATTGACCTTTTATAAGTTTTTTTTCCCCGCCCCTCCCGGCCTTGCAGTGGACAGCCCCGGGCTGCGGCCCGGGAGGATGTGTGTCTGGCTCTCGCCCTAAGCAACCAGGTGAACGTCTGCCCCGCCGCTCCCAAATCCCCTTATTTTTGCTCGTTAAAATCAGAGCTACCCGAGGGGAAAAAACGTGGCTCCTCCTTGAGTTGCCCCAACCGTTAGGTGAAGGCAAAGCAAGCTGGGGGATGTGTCCACCCCAGCAGCAGGCGGTAGGCATTTTTCCCTCGTTTCTTTCTTATTCTTCTCTTCGCCCCCCCTCCCCCCCCAGCCCTCTTATCTCAGCTGTGTACAAACTGATATGGTACTTAGCAGGAAAGTGACTGGAAATTAAAATAACTTCGTTCACCAGAGGTTATCAGCTGGATATCTGTCATCATCAGTTTGTACAGAAAGAGTCATCTGCGGCGAAGGGCTGGACTAGAGCAGAGCCCGGCTCTCGGCAGCCGGCAGACATGAGCCCTCAGACAGAAACCGAGCCCAAACCTGCTGATGCGCGGTGCCGTCGCTCCTGGGGTAGGCACGGCTTTTCTTTCGGTCTTTCCAGGCAAGGTGATTGGGAGGTGAAGAATTTGCAGTGCTGGGGGTACGATAAAACTCTGGCTGTAGTCATCCGCTCTCCCGGCGTGGGTGAGCGGATTGCGACCTCCAAGTTTTATTGTGCTCGTTAATTTTTGTGGTATAGCGCGGCAGAGGTTTGATCGGAAAATAACCACTTTCCCGAGAAACCGTTTCTCTATTAAATTGTATGATTAAAGGCGATACTTCTTTCCTGTCAGTTCTGTCTAAATAATATCTTGGTCACCCTGCCAAGTTGAAGTGATTTTTTTTTTCTTTTTACTTTTAGATGTATTTTAGTAGGTGCAATATTAAATAGAAAATACGCTTTTGCAAGCATGGGCAGTGATTCGTTGTTTGTAAACGCCCGGCGTGCCTTCCGACCCGCACTTGCCTCGCAGAACACTTTCCCGGGTTTTTTACCTGCAAAAGCGCGACAAGGGCAGGGGAAGCCACGGGTGTCGATGCCCACGCCGCTTCTTCCCTGCTTGGGTGCTGCCACTGCAAATTTCTGCGCTGAAAAGGGCCGAAATCGGCTTCACACCCCGCATTTCGTTTAAGTCTTTTGGACGTCCCTTCTCGAGTTAAACCCGAGGGTATTTCAAACACGTGTGAGGACGGACATAAGGCGAGAAATGCCGTGAGTTTTTTTGCAAGCGACAGGCTTTGCTCACGGGGAGGGGGGTGTCCGTGCCCGTGTGCCTCCAGGGTGGGCGGCAGAGCCCCGGGCCGGGGGCTGCCTGCCCGAGCGGGGAGGATGGCTGGGAGGAAGAACGGCCACGCTGGCCTGGCAGGCGCCTCTTACCCTGGCTCCGAAGTGACCTGTGTTTTACACTTCAGGCGCCTCGGTTTTTTTTCTCGGCTGATTAGCCTGTTTACGTTATAGCGGGGCTACAAGTTTCATTTTGTTTCCTCCGATAGACCCGATAAGAAAACCCGGCTTGAACTGGGACCAGCGTGGGAAACCATTCCCAATCACCCCTTTCCTCTCCACTCGTTTTCGTTTCAGGTTTGCTCTCGAACCGCTCAAATCCTATAGCCTTCGGTTCCTAACCCTTCATGACGTCACTCCCTTCCCAAATCCCGCTCCTCTGACGTAACTTTCCCCCCCGAGGCTCCGGGAGCCTCTCGGATATCTCCTGTCCCGGGGCCGGGGTGGGCACCCCGGGGAGCATCTGCAGGGAGAGTGCGAAGGCATTTTTGCAGAGAAAATCCGGGCTGGGGGATGCTCGGTGCGGAGAGGCACCGCTGGGGAGGTGGTGCCAGCGGTGGAGCCACGGCTCCTGCTCGCTGTGGCCAAAGAGGGAAGGAGGCAGATCGGGAAAAAGAGGGTTGTATCCAACTAAGGGAAATTCCGCTCATGGGCACTTCAATCTCCCCAAAAAAGGTTGGGGGAAAGCCGTGTGCAGGCGCGGTGTGGTTGCTCCTTCCCCCGCTCCCGGGTCTCTGCAAATCTGATCCATTACCAGGGGTGCATTAGGGAGAGGGGGAAGGCTCCGGTCCGGCCGCATCCCCGCCGGCCCCCCCGGCCCCGGCCCCCCCGGGAGCCGGGCCGGGCCCCGCTGCCCCCGGGGGGCTGCGGCCTTGGGGGCTCGGCGGGCTGGGGTGCGAGGCGGTGCGAGGGGTCACTTTGGTGACTATCGCAGGATGGAGTGTATTCTTTTCCGAGCCGTGTTTATGTAACTTAATGTACTTTAGAAACTGCTGGGGAGTTTAGGCCAGGCTGATAAGCGTAGCGGTTATTACAGGCGACGTGCCGGCACCTCTCCCCCTCTCTTCTCCCGTTCGCTTATCCGCGCTACTTAAAATATACTTTTATCAAGGCCACCCCACGATACGGAGTGTTTCCATTCCCCAGCGGCTGTGACATTGAAACGGACTTATCGATCGGGGCATCGGTAGCGCTCAGGCGCGACTGGCCCAGCGGGGAGCTGCCGGCCGGCCGGCTCCGCGCTTCCCCGCCGCTGCCCGCCCCGCAGGGCTCAAGCCCCGCGGCGGCCGAAGCCGGCGGGGCAATCCGCACCAGCCGGCGAAAGGGGGATTTCAGCGGCAGCCGAGGGAGAGGGGCCTCTGCCACCGCCCATCACCTCCCTCTCGGGCCGGGCGGGACAGCCTCGGGAGCTGGAGCAGCGCTTCGTGGAACTCGACCCCCAAAGCAGCAGGGTCCTCTGTAGACTGGGGGGGTAGGGCATGGCGGGGGTGCCCTTTGCCAGC